AGCTACTCGTAAAAGTCACACATAATCACTGGAACGTAGGTCCGTCAAACGTAAGTTCCGACGATTACATGAATCTAGTTACAGCAATTACTTGTTTGTTCCTTATTCCTTGGTCTACATTGCGTTACGACGATAAGTAGAGCTTAAAAATTCAAGCTTCTATCTAGTTCCAAGGTTCTTGGCCCTCTTCTTCCTTGAGCTCCCATCTTTTCCCTTTGGCGGCCCCGAGGGCAATGACGAAGTAGGGGAGAAGGCCCTATACATATATAGGGCCCCCCCACCACTTGCGTATAATTAATATTTATTTTGTTATTCATACTTCTCAGTTATATACTAAATTTTATAGTATTTAATAATTAAAAATTATATTATTTTATTTCTAAATTACTTTTAATCTTAATATATTCAAAATTAGGATTTGAAGAAGTCCTGCTACCTTTATATCGCCATTTTCCCTAGGGAAACTTACTTTGCTCGATGCTGTGCACAATTTATGATGAAATATAGGTTTCTTGTTTAACGTAGAACGGTATCCAAGAGGATACTTCGGTCTTAATAACGGCGAAAACGGCAGTAAATTGTAAGATAGCTAGAGATTACCGTGTAACGCGTTGTTCTTTCGTCGTAACGGGAATCGAATTGCCGGTTGCAGGTTGCGTGTCATTCTCATCCTGCTAATTCCGTTCCATTCATAGCAAAACATTGTTAGCTAAGTTCCTGTTAATTTACGATGCAAAACGTTTACCCGTGTAATTAGATCAATATCCAGGTAATTAAAATTCTTAGACCGCTTACCGCTGTTAATCCGATTAGAGGATTAAAAAGGAATGAAACTGTTGAATGAAAATATTCTTTCGCTTTCGAAATGATGTTATCTGTGTAACTTCAGTGTGAAATTTAAAAAATATTTAACAAACTTACTATTAATTTGATTAAATATTAATTGATTAAATAGAATGAATATAATTTTTAATATTATATTTTTTTGGGTGCATTATTAGTAAAATAATTATAAAATATAATGAAACTAAGTTATCAATCACTTCTGACATTTATCTACATTTATCTTATCGATTTTTTCAGAATCACTGAATTCTTATCTGAAAAATGTGTTCCCATCTTTAACCCTATGAACTCTTATCGTATATGTACACGGGAATTATCTAATGTAAATTTAATTATTCCGATACAATATAGAAGAATCTCGATAAATGACATTTAATGATAATGGATAAGTTCGTATTTCAGGAGCTTAGAATTGAAAGGTTCAGGAACTTTGATCTTAACCGTGAACTCGATCTAGAAAATCTAATTAAATATTCTATGAAGAATGGAACGAAATTAATCTTCCAGAAAATGTTAAAAAATACAAAAACTTGGAGTTCAACGGGTTAATTCCAACAACATTATTAATGTATTCCATGAAAAATATAATGAACTTTCGAAAAACCAAAAAAGCTTAAAGTCAAGTTTCTAATAATTTTAATAATACAGATATCAAAAAGAGAATTAATTTAACTTTCAAATGGCAAAGCCTGGTAAATCGTAACCCAGACCTGTAAAACAAATAAAACAATGCTGCAACTAAAATGAGGCTAAAATCAGTAGCATGAAGCATGAAGAAAACTATCGTTCGAACCGGAAGACGCAGACTACCGAGCCAAACGTTTCAATCGCCTTCAATTACAATTAACCGTTGTATTATTTTTCCCCGATGGTAATGTTCGCTGCCTATCACGACCACTCGTGTCCGATAAAGTGGTGCAACGTTGACACACCGCGAAACACGGTGCTCAACTTCGTAGACCCTCGTTTCAGGTCGCTAACATCGATCTGAATAAGTATGCCTCGAGGTTGAATACACGAATGAAATTGTGCACCGAGTGGTAAATGAGCCACTAGAATTGAAATCAACGCATATGGCGAGCCAAGATTAAACGCACATCGTGCATATGGACTACGGTAGCCCAATGGCGTAAGCAATTAATTTTTCTACATGAAATTTAAGCATATTATTTTTTGGTGCGTTTATTATTAGAAATATTCAAAAGTTTATATTATTTTCAAGGTAGGCTCTCTTTATTAACATTTTAAACCAAAATATCTTGCCATTTTGCAATAAAAGAAATTTGTATCTTTAAAATGAATGTCATCATCAAAATTCAAAGTTTTAAAAAATTTCTGAAATTAATAAAATTATAAATAAAGAACTAAGAACATCGCAGCAATGAAAATCTAAAGAATCTACTAAATTTTTCAGAGCACTCATTATCGATTAAATCAACTTGGCCGAAGTAAATGAATTGATGAACGCCCGATGCGACTACGTAATTCCAAGTTCAAAAGTGAACGGAAATTGTCGCGGTGCGAAAACAGCTTCAAGTTCAATAAATAAACGATCGTCGAAGCCTATGCATTTACGTGCATTTATATAATACAACAAAACACTATATTTTACAATGATGTGCAGGTATGGAAAGAGAGGAGAGGAGCGGAAGGTTGGAGAGGTCAGCCAAGCGTGCCTGCTAACATCCGCTTCCGCAGGATGTACGATTGTCATTTTCTTCTTTTTTTTTCCAACTTCGACCGGGCCTACCGCCGCAATTCATTGAGAATTCATTTTCCCGATCGAAAGGAAATGAATCCATCGTGACAGACTAAACGAATCAAGTTTATGGCCTAAATATTAATTTGTTGTTTATTAAATTCCAATATATTTTTCGCATTTTCAATTCGTTTACTGTCACAAATTAGATCGAATTTGAATAGGAAAACAAATCTGACAGACTGATGAAAATCCTATTTCAAAATGAAATAAACACCTTCGTCTTTGAAGAAGGACAGTGCGTGTCATTGCAAAGATCATGCTTAACAAAAACGATACATGCGATCGCATTTCAACGTGAATACACGATGTGTGCTTATCGACGTAACCCTAGATGTGTGCCACCTAATCAAACAGGTAACCAAACACTCGACATTACACGATGACCGGCACCTTGTTTGCGCGCATGTGAATGCAAATCACAGCGGGAATGGTGCTTAACCCTTTCCCTCGAGCGTTTTCTCGGTAATAATCTGAAATCAATCGGGAAATATCGATGAATAATTTATTTAATATTTATTTCGATTCTCTCGGTCTCGATACTATGCACTTATTTCGAAAATTAATAGCGACAAAGTTAACCCTAGAACTACCAAAGGGGTCAAAATGACTGGTTTCCAGTTTCTTATTTTAAATTATAAATTTTATCGAGCTATTTTTGTTGAAATATATGTTAGCTGTTATCGAGCTAAAGAATATGTTACATCCTTTATCTATTTAGTAATCTACATTATTTTCAATTTAAAAATAAGTGAGTAGTGGTAGTTCTACTGTTAACGATGATTGGGTCAATCTTGGCCCACACCTACGAAACCTATAGATACTACTCTAATGAAATTTTACATAACAACAACTAATGAATTTTAACAAATGAGTCAACTCTATTACTGCAGCAGATGCTTCGTAATAAATTCGTCTTAAAGGAATTATTACAAGGTTAAGTTTCAGCAGAGTTACGTGCTAATTATCACTGATTTAATCTCGTTATGCCTGTTCACCATAAAAAGTAACAATAAATCAAGTGGCCTTATACATACTTCCAACTGGTATTATAGCCCGTGTGTACTCGACGAACATTTGAAGACCATTCTCAAAATAGAAACTTAATTATACAGTAAATACTATTCATGAATGAATAAACAATAGCACAGAACAATTTCTGAACACTGAGTTTTCTTAAAAAGAAACCTTCTACAAGAAATACTTTCGACTTATTCTTTTCTCAAAATTTCTGTTTGCACTACTCGTTACACGACATCCTGTGCAAGAAAGTGAATTTTTTAAATTTCCACCTGGATCACCGTATAAAGAGGTAACAAGCTGGCCGATACGAAACACCTACGTGCACGTTTCGTTTACGCATACCGTCCGATAGGATCCTCCATCGTCTCTCCCTCATTAACGCTCAAATTACTCGGGGATGGTAGGACTGGCAAAAGTGTAGTCAAAGCGTAATGGAATGTCTGTCGCCTCGCTTTATTAGGCGATCAACGATCTACTGGTACACAGTGTCGCGCGTACACTGCATGCAAATAAGCCTTCCCTCTCTTTCTGTCCTCGCGTCGTTTCCATTTTTTTTTATTTATTTTTTTTATTTAACCGTCTTCCCTCTATCGCGAGCCTTGCTGAAGTCGCCTAGTTGCGAAACTCGTTCCCCGAGGCTACAGGACGTTCGTGGTTATCTTAGGGAAAATAAAGGGAAGAAAAGAGGCGAATGACACTTGATGTCCAAAGAACGCGATACGTAAACGTACCTTTTCAATACTTTTCAGATAACACCTGGTCGAAATTTAGAAAAACTAATGAAATGTTTAGGAATTGTTTGAAAATTCTGGCCTACTTTTCTTTCACCAATATTAACAAGGAAAAATTGTAAGTAAGAATATCAGGTATCTCATTGAAAACTGAGATAATGATTATTGAATTAAATGAAGACTAACAAGTTCTAGATGGTTCGACAGAAAATTTGTTTGGATGACAAACACAAAATAAATGGAATCGCAATTGGGTCAGCGGTGACAGCTTTCTAGATTCATTTTTCATTTGTCTTTGACAAAAAGTTGAACTGTTTACCAGTAAAAGTATTACAGCACGGCAAGAAGAAGCTATCAGTGGAGATAATAAGGATAATTTTCTGTAATTTCACCGGTTGGAACGGAGACGATTGTAAATAGTCGGAATTATAAATATAATGAGACAAAATGCCACAAGAAATTGTGTGGCTTTATAAACTATGAATTCATAATTAGAAATAGCGGTGGAGAAGTATTATTATGATAATTTTTAGTAATATTTTGATAACTTGTAATTTGTCAAGGATTTTTAAAAAGCAATCCAAAAATAAAATAATCCACGATACTTCAATTAATATACATATAATATATAAAATACTCACTTATTGCACTCATTAATGAACAAGACTACTTTAGATGGTACGCATTCTCACCTGAAACATATAAAATAAAACATACCATTAGATACAAAATATTTGGGTCTACATTTTACTACAATTTTGTATATAAAAAGGAATAAAGCAAAAATAGACATTTGAATCGTGACCTATATTTTATTGTAGAGTATCATTTTATAACAATAATGAAATACAAAAAAATAAAATAAAAACATACTTTGTTGGTAAAGTGGAAGCATACTTATGCTAAAGAAAAACGATTGAAAATAGATGTAGACATCAAGTTTTAAATTTAGTTTTACCGTTTCTTCGTATTAATTTATTTAAAAAACAGATGCAAGACAAGGTTAATGTCTCTAGTGTGGTTTAGGGAAACACCGAAACGAAATTAACTTGTTCAGTGAACAACGCTTTTAAAGAAGATCGTTCCGGAGAAAGTTTTCCGATCGTGTACCTACAACGTTTTACTTGTTGCTTTCGGAAGTACGGTACTTGTTTCAAGAAGCTATAGTTAAAATCCAAATGCTGTTTTTTCCTTTAACTAACCACTGTAATTGACGTGTTAAGGATGAAAACGAAGGCTTTATATTAGAACCTTGACCTCTGTATTTTCCACTTTCAACTACTTCATCAAACAATTTTGAAAAAATAATTAAATAAAACCATGAATTTTTTTGTATATTTAAAGAAAAATCAAAATTAAACTTTTTCATATAAATAATATAAAAAATAATGTGATGTGTAAACATTTTAAATTTTATGAAATTTTACCTTTGCTATTTAACCAATTTTACAAATTACAAAAATTACACAATTACACAAATTACAAAAGAGTGCAGAGCAAGATTGCAAAAGCGTAGATCTAGCAGGAACGAGAATTTCTATGTTGCGCGAAGGGGGTAAAGGCGCGAGCACAGCGTGGGTCGAAAATTGACGAGTTTGGCTCGCCGTTGCATCGCGACAGGATGATATAGGAGTTTCGCGCCGATTTATAATCCGAATAAATCATTCAAGGGTGGGCGTTGAACAAACGAACGTAGTGCAACGATTTTCAGAGTGCGGGTCAACGATCCAGGAGCGAACATCAATCCCTTGCGTGATCCAGATGAATCGCGGCTGATAAAGCAACGCTTCCTAGACCCTGCTTACATATTCTATTCATTAATCCTTTCGTCACTAAAGATGTATATACAGGGTGACTTTAGAGGCTTAGCGCAATCACTGAGAAAAGTAATGAAGAACAAGTAGGATAAATAGAAAATGAGCAACACAAAAATGAAGATAGAAACGTGGAAATAAAGAAACAAGTAAATACATACAAATTAAGATAAGAGGGAAAAGAGAAAGCAAAAGGGAAAGGAGAAAATAATTGAAGCGAGGTAGATAAAAAAGTAAAGAGGTAAAGGAGAGAAGAAGAACGACAGGAAACGAAAGATGATTAAACGTCAGAGATATCGTATATCAAAGAAGATCGATATAGTATGTACTCTCGTGAGGCAGCTAGTGATACAATTACAAGTACCACGATAAAGAAGATTTTTCTTTTTTACTTTATAGCTGATTATTACAAGGTAAATAAAATAGAGTATAACCGTTTTAATCGAATGTTATGATCTTTGTGCTAAAATTATTGTATAGCAGAAATTCTCCAACTATATATAGTGATTTGTTAATACATTGTCTTTCATAGGAGAGCTACTTGTTTAGTTTAATAAAATAATTTGAAAAAATGAAGGAGAAAAATTTTAGATACCATTTTATATTTGTACAGTGTCGAGCAAAGTAGACCTGGGATTACCAGCCTTCTCCTTTGCCAGGTGTTCGCCCTTCTCCTCAGGTATCCCCGAGGAGAATGACGATATAGGGGAAGAGGTCCTGTATATATAGGTCCATGCTCCCCCACCACTTCCATATATGCGTTTACGCGGGAAAATTTGATTCGATATTATTTTATTACTCACATTTTTCAATTCTATACTAAATACAACTATATAACAACTAAAAATTATATTATTTTGATTTTTAATTATTTTTAATATTAATATCGTAACAACTAATTCCCCTACAAAACCATTTTCCCTAAAGAAGCCCAGTTCGCTCGATATTCTACATCAACATATCAAAGTGAATGTCAAAACTGTGCATTTTATTTTATACGCATACGTGCTTAAACAAAATGGAATTTTTTAATCGTAGATAACGAATAGATAAGATAAAAAGAACAGAAGGAGTGAACAAACAATAAAATTGCTATCAGAGGAAATTTAACGTTTACCTAATCGTTCAATACATCGTTCTAAATCTACCACATAAAATTCAATGCAACATTGTAATTATCTTGAATCAGAAGAAACTGCATTAACGTGTACATTCACTGGATAGCACAAGATTTGAAGCGATAAGATAGAATGCAATGCGTGCACCTGATGACAATACATCTAACTATAGAGTCACGTAGAGAGGCTAACTCATAACAAATATGGTGAAACAATGAATGAAAGTTGATTATTACGAGCCAAGAATAGTTATCTATCGCGGAAGGCAACTCTGTATATTCCGCGCGTTCAATATCCGATGCTTCTTCCCCTGTTCGAAACTTTCAAATGATTAGGTTCACTGTACTCAAAGATATGTTTCATAAATGATTATATAGAGTATCATGTAATTGATGATACAAGCAAAAGGGTAATGACTCTATATTAAAGAAAAAGGTAAGTGGAAATATGAGAACACTTTTCCATCCAAGGCTTTCTTTTCAAGAAAATCATAACAACTTGATAATTAATTTTCCACTGCAAAATTATGATTTCTTTTTAAATACCTCATTTTCCAAATTAACACACACTATTAGTAGACATTTTTAATTCTCACCTATATTATATTACTTTTTTTCTTTTGTGTATTTATTTTATAAACTTTAAAATTATGATTTCCTGATATATTTATTATGAATAATGCCAATGTCCCAATGTATGCTTCTTGCAATATTATATAGTACGTCTGATGCACACGTTCAACGATATGATTAATTGTATCAATGAATTATGCAACAAAATTAGCAAGAAGTGAATAACGCAGAGTTAAACGACTTCTTCTGACAAACATTGAAAACGTTTATTTTTAGCCGACATTAGTCCATTTATTATTACGTCCTTTCAACGAGAACGTTCATAAGATATCGTGGAAAGAAAAGGCTGTGGCAGATAGATTTATCTCGCTTAAGTAAGAATCACGACACGTATGTAAAGCAACTATCGCGAGTTGTCACGTTGCTATCCCAACTTTGTTCTTTCGATCGATAAGAAAAAGAACTCGTGAGAAAGTTTCAGGATACCATGTGAGATTAAAAACGCTGTAATCGAACGTGACTTTCAGTTCATCGTACCTGTACTACAACGATATTTATTACCCTTTAATCGATCAAAGAATCTTGAAACTATATTTAATGAAAAATTAATTTTAATTTAATAAAATTGATTCAATTATCAATTACTTGTACCTTGAAAGCGAAACTCGAATAAAAATAAACATAAAAACTTCAAAAGTCAAACTATTGATGAAGTACAATTTAATGAGAAAATTATTTTTAGAAACTAATTTAATTTTATCACACTGGAATACAAATCCATCGGCAGATAAACTGGTATTTAAAGCGTTATAAAATACCAATAACTGTATGTTTCTCATAATTCAGTACATCATTGATGGCGATCGTTTAATTTTATGCCTGTTAATTTTGCACGCTAATTTAAATTATTAGCCAAAAGAGGCTCATCGAATCTGAAAAATACAAATACTTTTACAAGTTCTGCTGCTACATGCTGATTGTTTCGGTAATAAAAATGCACCGTTACTCTGGACGAGCGAAGTTTGTCGCGGTACTTGGTTAAAATTAACATCGTAATATCTTCATCAAGAAAAAAAAGAGAATAAACGAAAGAAAATGCAAGAACAGTTCTGATATTACACTGGTTGATTCCGTGGTTTACATAGCGTGAGGAAAAGGAAGAGGAAAGGCAAAGGAGTTTTTCGATTAAAGAATCAGCTTCTAATTATGAAAACCATGGCGTTAATTAATTATTGAGATAAGACACGAGTAGCTCCTTAGTAGGAAAAGAAAGCAGTGATCGCGGAAAAAGTAAAAGGAGTTAACGTGAAATTTTTCATCGGAGAATGGATTTCCTTGCTCTTGCGACAATGAGAGGAAATACTGGAGAAGTTATTAGACAACAAGCTTTTCAATAGGATTAATTCCCTTTATGGAAACGGGAAGTGTTATTTTATTTTAGTAAAAATTCAATTACATAATTTTATTATTTTTTAATATTCATTTAAATCTATGAAATCATGTTTCGATTGAACCTGAATCGATCTACGTTCTCTTGTTAAAAGCTTGAATGCCTCGAAATGAGACAGCACATTTCCCTCGTCATTGTCAGTCATTTCGTCTCACTCTATAAACGTGTACAATGTCAATATCATACTGAATCATTGTGAACGAAATTCCTTTTGATCGTTTTAATAGGAAACGAATATTGCGTCTGTATCTTCTTTGATAACAGAAAATATTCGAATAATGAGTGTTCAGATAATGGAAGCGATAATAACGTTATATCAGAAACTGAATATTTTATAGGCGCAAAGCATTTTCATAACAATATTTATCAATTGTAAGACGACGCATTAAAGCAATTATTAAATTTTATTACACAGAAGGTAAATTTATATGGCTGCTATTTAGTCACTATGATTGTAAAAAAGTTATTTAGATTTGGGTCAGTCATAACCCATTCATTGGAGAAATAATTAAAAAGCTAAAAAATAAATAATCTAACATTAAATTTAAATTGTTGCTATTTTAATAATCCACCTTTCAAGAGTTAAATCTAAGAACATCGTTTATATAAAAACTTTTCTCTACTTTACTACCCTCTGCTTCAAGTTGAACCTGAAGACCTCTCTTTATTAAAAACTTTTCTCCACTCCATCTCTAATATGCATACAAAATTTAAATTGCTAATATGCTTGTATCTCCT